CCCTAAACCCGGGGACGTCCCCCAAATTCAGTACTGTCCCCCAAACCCGGGGATGTCACCCAAACCTGCGGGATGTCCCCCAAACCTCGGGCTCTTTCCAAACCAGAGGGATGTCTCCCAAACCTGGAGGTGTCCCGCAAAGCCGGCGATGTCCCCACTCACCCACGCAGGATTTCCAGCAGGATCTCGTCACAGATGGGGGGCAGCTGCGGGCAGAGAACAGCTCCGAACGCGGGTGTGGAAATGGGGGCGTTCCCCTTTTTGGGGTGCCCTCGTTTGGGGGCAGGGGGTGCGGGAGCTGTGTGGGGCTGGGGGAGCTCCTCACCCGCAGGGGAAAGAACAAAACCTCGTTCCACTCGGGGCTGGCATTGGGGGGCATCCCGCGGGTGCAGAGCTGCGGTGGGGACAGCTGTGAGCCCCCGAAAGGGTCCGGCACCCCCAGAGCAGCTGGACACCCCCAATTCCCTTCCTGGCATCCCCAAATCCCCCATTCCCTGCCCGGCACTCACCGTCCTGCCCGCAAAGCCGACCCGCACCGACAGCTTGGCCGAGCCCGTGGTGCCGCCCAAGCACGGCCGCGCCGGCTCCGCTGAGCGGGGATGGAGAACAGAGAGGTTTTGGGGGGGTCCCCAAATCTCCCCCAGTTCCCACCCTGTAGCGAGCAGGGGGTCCCCAAATCTACCCTTTATCCCAAATTCTCTGTGGCAATCACAGGGGGTCACCAAATCCACCCTTCAGCCGAAATTCCCCCATGCCCACCTTGTGATGAGAACGGGTGTCCCCAAATTCACCCTTCACCCCAAATTCCCAGTGTGCCCACCTTGTGGTGAGCAGGAGGAATCCTCAAATCTGTCCCCACTCCAAACCCCACTGTCCCACCCCAGTTCCCCGCTGTCCGACCCAAAACCCGGCTGTCCCACCCCTGTTCCCCGGTGTCCGACCCCTATTCCCCGGTGTCTGACCCCAAACCCTGATGTCCCCACCCCAAACCCCAAACCCCACTGTCCCTACCCCAATTTCCCGCTGTCCCTACCCCAAACCCCTGTGTACCCACCCCATGGCAGGTCCTCGGCGCGGAACACGCGGATCTGCAGGGTGGTGGCGCAGGGCGGTGGCCGCAGCAGGTTGGCCTCCACATCGTCGTTCCCCGCCGGCATCTCCTGCTCCTTGGGGGGATGTGACAGCGTGGGGGCCTCCCCCAGGAGGGATTTTGGGGTTCGGGGGAGGGCGGGGCCCTCACCTGGGCGCGCTCTCCGGCTCGGCGAACTACCAGGCTCACCTGCAGCCAGCCCTGGGAGCGGCCGTCGCGGTGCCGCGGGTGCTGCAGGCTCAGCCACTTCCAGCTCAGGCTGCGCCCTGGCACGGCGGGGATGGCGAGCAGCAAGGTTTTGGGGCGGTCCCCAAATCCATCCCCACCCCAAGTCTCCCCCGGTTCCCACCCTGCAGGGAGCGGGGATTCCCCAAAGCTACCCTTCATCCCAAATTCTCGGTGTCCCCACCCTGTGATGAGAAAGGGATTCCTCAAATCGACCCTTCAGCCTGAATTCCCAGTGTCCCCATCCTGTGGTGAGGATCCTCAAATCTGTCCCCACCTCAATTCCCCGCTGTCCCCATCCCAATACCCGTTAACCCTACTCCAAATCCTGCCGTCACCTCGGTGGCACCAGAGCCACCCCGCTGTCACCCCAGGTTTCACCTACAACCCCCCCAAAAACGGGCAGTGTTCCCCCAAAATGAAGTCTCACTCCTGGCCAGTGCCGGTCTAAAACAGCCCTCAAAATGTGTCACCCTGGTGTCACCAAAGCCACCTCAGTGT